AAGAGCAGATTGTACGATCTTCCTCGCAAGGAGTCGGAAAGGTTTATAAATGATTATAATCCGTCTATCAAATTAGCCTGGGAAGGAAATATGGACATACAATTTATTAGAGAAAAATCAGAGTTTTTAAACTCATATTTAACAAAATACACGACAAAGTCGGAAAAATGCAATACAGACTTTGAAGTGATAGATTCGAATAAGTCCTTGGCATCGAAACTGTGGAATTTTGCAATGCGTTCATTAAATAACAGAGAATGCGGTGCTTTAGAAGCTGCGGATACACTATTAGGGAATCCCTTGTACGGTACGGATAATGATACCATGGTCAAATGGATCGATGTTAATGAGGTGAGAAATAGAAAAGTTAAAACATTTAATGAAATTTAAGCTCTCGATGAAAATTCTACGAATATTTACTGTTCGTCACTCATCGATGATTACTATCCAAATAGACCTCAGGAATTAGAATCATTGAATTTGTACGATTTTGCCAGATTCTGGGAAATTACGAAACAGATGTCAAATAATGACGAAGTCAAGTGTTACAAACTGGCATCGGGTTTATTTTTAAAAAAACGAAAAAAGGGTTATTTAATTAACCATTATCGATTTAATATAAAAACTGAGCCCGAAAAATACTTTTACTCGCTGCTTCTTCTGTTCAAACCATGGAGAGATTTGAGTGAACTCAAAGGTACATTCGAGACTTACACGGATGCCTTTAAGAATTCAGAGTCTGTTTTAACGAAGGCAATGAAATATCACGAAAGGCTCGAAGAAATACAGAAAGCTTTTGAGAACGTTGCTGAATTAATCGAGAAGCGCGAAAATGATCTGAAAACAGCAGACAGAGACAAATCCGATGACGATGAACTGGATTGTAATCCGATAGAAGCTGACGACGCGATGAAAGATCTGGAAGATTTTGGTAAGATTGACGACCCGATTGATTTATCGCAAATGATGTCGCAATTGAACGAAGACCAGAAAAGAGTCTTTGATGGAGTATGCCAAGTTTTACAAGATAAGAATCAGATTCTGCGACTGTACGTAAGTGGCGAGGGTGGTACAGGGAAAAGTTTTCTAATTGAAACGATTAAACATTGGATCAGAATAAATTTGGAAAAAACGACTGCCATATCTGCTCCCACGGGTATCGCAGCATTCAATATCGATGGCTTGACAATCCATAGAATGTTTCAACTACCGGTTAGTCATGAATCTACACCAAAATATACGCAATTGTCAGACATGGTCTTGAAAACTTTGAGAGACAAATTAAAGAATGTCGAATTATTTATAATCGAAGGAATTACATGTAACAATGCAATGATGGATTTAGGAACGACTGTATTCAGTGATGGTCAAGCCTATGTAGGTTTGTCACGAGTAAGTAAATTGGAAGGCCTACATTTGATAAATTTCAATCCAGCATCAGTTAAAGCAAACTCGAGAGCCATTGTAGAATATAATCGACTGAGATCTATATTCAAATCTGAACTGCCACAAATCAATCCGTCCGAGAAAAAGGTTGTGAAAATGTACGATCGTCGATGGGATATCTCTAATATCATTGATGATATGCAGAATTATGATTGTGAGGAACCAGAAAGTATAGTTACGTGGAAAATATATGGCCTTTGCAATAACGATGCTGTTTCGTGTTACGCTAATGTAATATTACAATGTGCGTTTCATTGCGTACGTATTAGGCAACAAATACTGAAAAATAAAGCATCGAATGCATTGATTGATGCTATCTGCGCGTATGGTGAACGTAAATATTGCAACATTCAAGCGGTTAGAAGATCTGTCGGAAAACGCTTCGAAGAACGAACACAACAAGATGTTTCGGAATTTTTTACGGCTCTAATGTCGACGTATTCCGACATCAATGATGTATTAAAACTCGAATTAAAGCACGTAACATGTTGCTCGAATGTCAAATGTAATTACAATGTAACTAAGCTGGAAAGCAGTAGTTTGTTAATATTACCTATACATTCGACATTAAAAAGGAAAAAAGGTGTCACTCTACAAAGTTTGATTAATGTAGAATTTTCTAAATGGGAAACGATAAACGGCAATTGTAACGAATGTAAGGGCACCGTGTTGAAAAAGAAAACCGTAATCGAATCAACTTTATCCGTCGTAGTAATACAGCTCAATTTATATACTTTTGTAAACGGTGCTTCTAAAAAAATTATCAACAATCGGATTACCGCCGTGCCGACGAGTAATATCACGATTAATAAAAAAAAGTACAAGCTAATAAGCGCTATATTTCACGAAGGTGAAGAAATGAATCGTGGTCACTACACGTGTATGTTGAGAGCTGACACAAAATCGGAATGGTATTACTCTAATGATATGGAAGTGTTCAAGAAAAAATGGCCCAAAGGAGCACAAGGGGCATACATATTGTTCTTAGAACAGATTAAATAATGGCGCTGTATAAAGGCTGCCGTAAACGCTACATTAAAACATCAACTGTTCTAGCGCTGTATAAAAGTTGCCGTAAGCGCCAAAATAAAATATCGGCTGCTCTGGCGCTTTATAAAAGCTGCTGTAAGCGCTGCATTAAAACGAGTGCAATAAGTTTCTAATTTGACCTAGGCTTCATGACATTTCAAAAAGTATCATCCAGAAAAAAATTATCAGACAGAAATATGTATGTCGTGTTAAAATCGGAGAGACGAAGAAAAATATGGTTGCGTTCTCACGAGAATGGGCGATGGAGGGGCCCATTCTTTATTTTCAATATTCATACAAGAATATAAATTCATTCTGTTGCAATTGAAATAAATGTGCAATGTATCGTTAAAAGTTATTACAATTATACAAACATTTACATATATGATTAAATAAAATATATATGTATACTATAATATAATTATATATTTTATATATGTACATATATACCATATATTTCAATTATTTTGAACTGTATTGCATAAATTGTTACTTATACAAAGTTATGTGATAAGAATCGAAAATACATATATTTGTGATACTTGAATTACTAGAAAGCTGCTCTATATATCTGTACTTTAAAAAGTAAGTGATATCCTAAAAAATCATAAAAATGAAAAGGTCAGGCCATGTTCAAAAGAAGGTACTCAAAAATTTAAACGATCTAATAATAAATTATCACGAAAAGTAACTGATATGTTATTCAAGGTGCCAGTTCAAAGTGAACATACGTAAAGTGTATATTATCTAAATTTAGTAATAATATATTACCATGAAAAGTAACTGTGATATTTTATTCAAGGTGCAAGTTCACATTGAACATACATACATATAAGTAAAACTGATTACAATTTGATTCTAGAAAATAAGTGCGATATGTTATTCTTAGTGCACAAAATATAATAGTCGTTTATAGAGATTTGATTTGAAATTTATACTAGCCCGTACAATGAAAAATAATTGCTCGTAATTCCAGAGTACCAATTTGTTAATGACTCAGAAAAATAACATGGCGGCCTGCTCTCAAAAAACTATGATGTTTCTCGATGTCCATTTAGAAATAATGTCGAAGCTCTTACAGAATAATTACTACAACATTTGAAGTACGAAAAGTATTACATTAGAAGAAGATTAGATTAGAATAAGGATTCAACGTATTTTTAAAAGCTCTACACACAACGAAGTGAATATACAAAACTATATACAAATACCTTTTTCTTCTGTGTTTCTGAAGAAAATCTTTTAAATAGAAAATAGTGTCTTGCGATCATGAAGAATAGGTTTTAAATAGCAAGGTTTCATTTGACTTATAATTTTCGATATTATTCACTTAATTAATATGTAATTTTTTATTGTATATTACGACAAATAATCAGTAAACTTTTTAAGCGTATAGCTTTATTGTACTTGACCTGAGAACTGTACATTTATAAATTTTACTTAATATACACCCGTTTCGAGCAACAAGGCAAAGTTTTCTGATCAATAACTTACTCCCTGAAAATACGGTATAACACAAATCGGAAGTTGATACGAAAATTCGAAATTTTACTAAAGAAAGATTGGAGGTTTTTAATTTATACAATTTTCACAACTCTTATTTCAATTATTTATTCTACCCATCGAAAGTTTTTTGAGAGCAGGCCGCCATGTTATTTTTCTGAGTAATTAACAAATTGGTACTCTGGAATTACGAGCAATTATTTTTCATTGTACGGGCTAGTATAAATTTCAAATCAAATCTCTATAAACGACTATTATATTTTGTGCACTAAGAATAACATATCGCACTTATTTTCTAGAATCAAATTGTAATCAGTTTTACTTATATGTATGTATGTTCAATGTGAACTTGCACCTTGAATAAAATATCACAGTTACTTTTCATGGTAATATATTATTACTAAATTTAGATAATATACACTTTACGTATGTTCACTTTGAACTGGCACCTTGAATAACATATCAGTTACTTTTCGTGATAATTTATTATTAGATCGTTTAAATTTTTGAGTACCTTCTTTTGAACATGGCCTGACCTTTTCATTTTTATGATTTTTTAGGATATATATATATATATTCCTCTGTCTTGGCCTTTTCTCTGCCTCGATTTCTTCTTCGCGCGCGCACGTACGCACGCTCGCTTGCTCACTCACTCACTCACACTTTCTCTCCCTCTCTCTCTCTTTTTCTCTTTTTCTCAATTGTTCGCATTTTTTTGAAAAAAATTAGGAGAAAAATTGTGTATAAACATTTTTTATTCAGAATAATTCTGAATTTTTTTATAATTACTATGTAATGTCTATATATATATATATATATAATTACAATGTGAATGCATTATATATTTATTAATTATTTTAGAGAGAAAGAAAATAAATCAAAGTAGATATAGGTGTAGTAAGCTCTAAGCTTTAAGAAACTCACCAATCACAGTCAAGAATGAGGGACTCAAACAATCGGTTTCAGTGCCTTGTGAAAAGGCACCTTTAGCTTTACATAAAAGCATGTTTTCACCCTAGAAACTCTAAACACTTTTTTATGTGCAAACGGCCTTTAGAAGTGTTTTACATATGCGTAGGTTATGTAGAATAGAAAAGTTGTCGCGAATGATGTTTTGAGATATTTTTTATTTTGTCGCGATTATTTTACCAATCATCACGAAACTCCTACCGTGACGAAACTCCAAGTCGATATTTCACGTGGTTGCGTGCAAATTCCAGCCCATCATTTACTTCTTTCCAATGCGATGTCAAGAATCGTAAATCCGTAAATAAACAGTGAATTGTAAAGATATATCGTAAAGTATAATTGAAAGACAGATAAGAATGGCTAATGAGGCGATGGAAACGTTACGGGGCCTCAGTAACGAGGAGACTGAATGCAACGTTGACGCTGAGATTTACGACGACGACGAGGATTCAGACGGGGTCGTGGTTCCAGAACTTCAGGGTACATTATCCAAATGGACAAATTACATACACGGCTGGCAAACTAGATTTATTGTACTCAAAGATGGCACTTTGTCTTATTACAAATCTGAACAGGACAGTGGATTCGGGTGTCGTGGCTCGATTAGTTTGTATAAAGCTAATATCAAGGTAAGAGAGATTGCATGATGCGACAGGGATTCGTCTCGTCACTTCAAACTTCTGACGAGTTAGCATGCATATACTATTGTATAACTTAAATTAATTTGAATTTGTTTTATTATATTATTTGTTTTACCAGGCGCATCAATTTGACGAATGTAGATTTGACGTGTCTGTAAATGACTGCTTAGTTTGGTATTTAAGAGCGAACAGTCCAGAGGAAAAACAGCGATGGGTGGATATCTTGAAGTCTTATAAGGTAATTATTTTTTATATTTGATAATATATTATGATATATTTTTGCACTTTGAAATATATATGATTTGAAATTAATAGTTGTAATTAATATAATGTATGATAAAATCTCTTCTTTGGTAATACAGGGTATTTCCAGGTTAAATAGCCAAACTTAAAATACGAATTTAGGATCTTAAAACAAACAAATATTTTATCTGGAAATTTACTTTAAATGCTTTTTTGAAGAGATATTGATTTTTGAACTATAGGAATAAATATCAAAATAATTTAGATTTTCTTTAGATCTTTTTTATTGCTTTGCAGTAATCAATTTGATGTAATTATTAAATATTTTGTTCAAAATGATGACATTTTAACATTATTCATTCTTGTAGTTCAAAATTTCAAAAGCCAATATCTCTTCAAGGAACCGTTTACGAATAAACTTCTAGATAAAATATTTGTTTTGTTCCTAAATTCGCACTTTAAATTTGGCTATTTAATCTGGAAATACTGTATATACAGGGTGTTTTGCAATGTGATGTTTACACTGAAATTGTGTATTTTTGTTGTCATTCTAAGTCGAAAAGTCTTGATACACATATGCCCTAAAGTCGATTATTTTAAAATTACAGCAAAAAAAAACAAAATTGCATAAAACAAGAACAGTATTATTTATTGAAAATGATAATATTATTTTGAACAATAATATTAAATGATAATTAACTACTTTATAAATTGTGTAGTAAGGTGTCAAAAGTATTTCTCATACTAGTGCGATACAGTAAGGCTTACATTGAATTGTTGACTAAACCACTTTCTGTACACTAAAAGGCAATCAAAAATCAAACTTTCGTGACTGGTATTACAAAAAACAATTGCAGTAAAAAAATCAATAATAAATAAGTAAATAATAATTAAAAATTATAAATAAATAAATAAATAGTTTTGTATTTTTCGCTATAACTTTAAAACAATCGACTTTAGGGCGTATGTGTATTAAGACTTTTTGACTTAGAACAACATCAAGAATACACAACTTTAGTATGGACATTATGTTGCGGAACATTCTGTACATGATTTGAAATTAATATTTATAATTAATATAATGTATAATAAAATCTCTTCTTTGTAATATATATACAGGGTATCTGAGACCACTCATACATGAAGAAAGTCTCAAGATCAACTATTTCAAAAAGTAGTTTTTATTTCAAATACATGCTAAAGTCATTTTCAGAAAAAAATTTTTCAGACAAAAGGTGTTCCAATTAATTGCTAGAAGAAACTATAAGGCCGAGTCTACAATAGGTGTAGTAAGTTCTAAGCCTTAAGAAATTGATCAATCACAGTCAATTATTCCCCTCACTCTTGACTGTGATTGGTGAATTTCTTAAAGCTTAGAGCTTACTACACCTGTTATAGATCCAGCCTAATAAAAAATGGGAATTTCTATTTAAGATTTTAAAGTTGACCTTGAGACTTTTCATAACTACAGTCAAGGGCAAATATGTATCACCATTTCTTGTGTTTGTTAAAACTATAACTTTTGTTTAAAACATTTTTATCTATCATGCTCAGTTTCCAAAATATTTAACATGCACAGGTGGTCTTAGACATCGTGTATATGTATATATAATAAAATTATTATATGCTTTTATATAAAATAGTCAGAGTCCGGTTATGGGAGTGAAAATAGTCTCAAACGACATGGTAGTGCGATTTCACTGGTGTCAAATACACAGTCGACAACGAGCGCTGGTAGCTTTACTAAGCGTGGCATTAGAGGGCTGAAAGAAAAGTTGGCTGAAATTGAAACCTTCAAAGACATTCTGATCAAGCAGATCGATACTTTGCAGAAATATTTTGATAACTGTGCAGAAAATGTCAAGAATACTTCCAAGAAAGGTAATAATCTTTAACTTGTACAAATATTTTTATTTACTTTTAACAAATTTATAGAAAAAGACACAACTGACATATATTTTGCTTAACTATTAATCCAATTCAAAATTGATGATAAAAATTTATATATATTTATATACATATATTAATACATATATATACACTTGTATATATTTATGTAGGATATATAGATATTTATACAAATTATTTTATACTAGATAACACAAGTGCGCGCTTCGCGCGCGCCAAAGTAATTTTACTTCGCAAGTGTACATAATTTTAATTCGCCGTATTTCAATTACTAACATTACTCTAATTCTCGAATTTATATTATACATATACATAATTTTTATTTGTTGAATTTCTATTACGAACCTAATTTTAATTTGCCGAGTTTTTATTATGCATAATTTTAATTTTTAATTTTTTATTATGTACATAATTTTAATTCTTGAATTTCTATTATGCACATAATTTTAATTCGCCGTATTTCTATTATGTAAATAACTGAAATTGTACCTAATAGAAATTCAGCCAATAAAATTATATACATAATAAAAATTCGACGAATTAAAAGTATAAACATAATTCAAGAATACAAATTACGTACATAATAGAAATTCGGCGAATCAAAATTTAAACATAATGTAAATATAAAAATTAAAATTATGTACACAATAAAATTTAACAATTTTTTACATAATATAAGCACGTCTAATTAAAATTATGTACATATAATAGAAATTATGAACATAATAGAAATTTGATGAATTAAAATTATGTATATAATGAAAATAAATTAATTAAATTTAAGTAAGTACATAATAGAAATTCAGCCAATAAAATTATATACATAATAAAAATTCGACGAATTAAAAGTATAAACATAATTCAAGAATACAAATTACGTACATAATAGAAATTCGGCGAATCAAAATTTAAACATAATGTAAATATAAAAATTAAAATTATGTACACAATAAAAATTTAACAATAAAATTTTTTACATAATATAAGCACGTCTAATTAAAATTATGTACATATAATAGAAATTATGAACATAATAGAAATTTGATGAATTAAAATTATGTATATAATGAAAATAAATTAATTAAATTTAAGTAAGTACATAATAGAAATTCAGAGAATTAAAATTATATACATAATAGAAATTTTGCGAATTAAATTATGAACATAATAGAAATTTAAGAATAAAAATTATGTACACAATAGAAATTCAACGAATCAAAATTATGTACATAATGGAAATTCAAGAATTAAAATTATGTACATAATAAAAATTTAGCGAATTAAAATTATTTACATAAAGAAATTCAGCAAATTGAATTTTGCACATAATACAAATTCAACATATTAAAATTATGTACATAGTTTTAATTCTTCAATTTCTGTTATGTTCATAATTTAATTCGCCGAAATTCTATTATGTACATATTTTTAATTCCCCAAATTTCTATTATATATGTACATGATTTTAATTCTTGAATTTCCATTATGATCAAAATTTTAATTTGTTGAGTTTCTATTGTGTACATAACGTTTATTCTGAAATTTCTATTATGTTTAATATTTAATTCGCCGAATTTTTATTATGTACATAATTTTAATTTGCTGAAATTCTATTATGTACATAATTTTAATTATTTATTTTTATTATTTACATAATTTTAATTCATCAAATTTCTATTATATACATAATTATAATTCTCGAATTTCAGTTATGTACATGTATATAATTTTAATTCCCGAATTTCTATTATGAATATAATTTTTATTTGTTGAATTTCTATTATAAACATAATTATAATTCGTCGAATTTATATTATGTACATAATTTTAATTTCTGCTTTTATATTATGTACATAATTTTAATTTCTGCTTTTATATTATGTACATAATGTTAATTTCTGCTTTTATATTATGTACACAATTTTTATTCGTGAATTTTTATTAAATACAATTTCAGTTATTTACATATTAGAATTTCTGCGAATTAAATTATGAACATAATAGAAATTAAAGAATTAAAACTGCACATAATTTTAATTTGCCGTATTAAATAGAAATTCACGAATAAAAATTATGTATTTAATGGAAATTCGTCGAATTTTTATTTTGTATATAAATGTTCTTTATTTTTATTATGTATATAATTTTAATTTGCCGAATTTCTATTGTGTAAATAATTTTAATTTGTTGCATTTCTATTATGTACATAATTTTAATTCTTGAATTTGGATTATGTACATCATCAAAATTAACTGAATTTCTATATATACATAATTTTAATTCACCGAATTTCTATTTCCCTTTCTAACCGAGAAACTGTAATTGAGTAGGTGAATAAACACCTAGTTATCACATTTTAACAATTATTTACACCAAATTATTTAATATACATAACTATCTCTACACTAAATCCTCAATACATACAATTGTCAAAATATGAATTTATCGAATATTCATTATGTACATAATTTTAATTTGCCAAATTTCTATTATGTATATAATATAAGAACGAGAATTAAAATTATCTACGAAAAAAGAAATTTGAGAATTAATATTATGTCCATAATAGTAATTCGATGAAATAAAATCATATACAAAATAGAAATTCGATGATTTAAAATTGTATATAATAGAAATTCGGTGAATTAAAATTATGTACATAATGCAAACTCGGCGAAATAAAATTATGTATACATATAATGGAAATTTGCTTACTTACATTTTGTTCTGTCCTCTTGGCAATAGCATTAGGTTAAATGACAGCAAATGTACGAATACCCGCACGAATGTAGAACGAAAAATAATTAATATATCATAATATTTATATAAAATTTTGACAACTGTCAAACTGGTAACCTTCTTAACAACTGCTCGATGCTATGAATCTAACGCATAACAACGGCAAATCGAAACAGCCAATCAGAATCGCGGAAAAGCGGCAATAATATCAATAACATGCTTTTTTAGAATAAAAAAAACTAGCAACACAAGCGTGCGCTTCGGCCGCGCCATTAATATTGTTTTAATTTTTTTATTACACATATCGCGAGATTTCCTGTGCAACTCGACTACCGGTCAGACACACGGAAAAGAGGCAACAATAAACGCGACTCAAAACACAAACTTCACGCGTTTCATGACTTTTTTTATCATAGACTAGATAACACAAGCGCGAACGTTTAACAAATTTCTACTCCGCGAGTGTACGTAATTTTAATTTGCCGAATTTTAATTATGTACATAACTCTAATTCCCGATATTCTATTATACATATACATAATTTTAATTCGCCGTATTTCTATTATGTAAATAACTGAAATTGTACCTAATAGAAATTCGGCCAGTTGAATTTATGTACACAATAAAAATTTGACGAATTGAAATTATAACGCATAACAGAAATTCAAAAATAATGATGTATTGTACATAGTAGATATTTGGCGAATCAAAATTTAAAACGTAATGGAAACTTAAGAATTAAAATTAGATACACAATGAAAATTTAAGAATAAAATTATGTACATATAGAAATTCAGCGAATTACAATTATTTACATAAAAGAAATATGACAAATTAAAATTATATACATAATAGAAATTGGGCAAATTAAAATTATTTAGTTAAAAGGAATACGGTGAATTAAAATTATGTACATAATAAAAATTCGGAAATTAAAATTATGTACATAATAGAAATTCGACAAATTAAAATTATGAACATAATAGAAATTCAAGAATAAAAATCGTGTACATAATAGAAATAAGAGAATTGAAGTTATGTATATAATAATTATTTTTTGCACCGTTGTGGGTTATCGCGACAAAGAAACGTTATTTTATTTTAATTCACAAAAATTTTATTATGTACATAATTTTAATTCTTTATTTTCACTATGTACATAATTTTAATTTGCCGAATTTTCGTAATGTACATAATTTTAATTCACCGAATTTCTAACTGAGAAACTGTAGTCGAAACCACTCAATCATAAAATTAATAAACACTTATTTATCAGATTTTAATTAGTATATACACCAAATCTTTTAATATACATTACTATCACTACACTAACCTCTCGATACATACAACTGTCAAAATATGCAATGACAGCCGCTCACGAAGAAAACGCAATTACGGAATCAATCAGCATCACGGATTAAAGGCAACAATTCTTCGATACATTCGAGAATAAATAACATGCCTTTTTTAGAAAGGGAATCTTGTCTTTCTCTTATATCTCTTCTATTTCTATCTTTTATCTTCTTTATGTTATTCTAAATGATTAACCGCAAACTGTCAAACAATCTTGGTTGTGATTCAAGCCGCGAAACAAACTTCGAGACAACCAATCGCGGAAAAGAGGCTTCAAAACTTCGATACAAATTGAATTCAAACAGTTAACATGCCTTTTTTAGAAAGGGATGGATAGAATGAATGTAATATTTATAACATAATTATTTAATATTTTCATCATATTGATTTAAACTTTTGAAAAAATCTTTCTAAAGCAAAAAATTGAAGTTTTTAAATTTAATCTAAAATCGACATATATATTGTTAAATATAAAATCATACGTAACATAATATTGAAAAAATATTTGTTTATGTTAATGCTATAATAAACAGACAATAATATATAAGAAATAAAACAGATATATTTCACACAATAATATATTTCAATTATAATATAATTTGTATAAAAATTATATGTAGAAAGATATAACAAAAAATAACATAAATGGCGCGCGCGTTAATCTAGTCCACGATAAAAAAATTCATGAAAAGCGTGAAGTTTATGCTTTGAATCGCGTGTATTGTTATCTCCTTTCGGCGTGTCTGATTGGTAGTCGAGTTGCGCAGAGTCTCGCGGTATGTGTGATAAAAAAATTAAAATAATATTAATAGCGCATGAAGCGCGCGCTTGTGTTGCTAGTTAATTTCTAAAAAAGGTATGTTATTTATTATTTATCGAAGTCTCGAAGTGTATTGTTGCTTTTAATCTGCGATGCAGATTGGTTCTGCCCTTGCGTTTACTTCGTGAGCTGCTATTATTGCATATTTTGACAGTTGTATGTATCGAGGGGTTAGTGTATTGAAAGTTATGCATTATAAAGGATTTTGTGTATAATTGTTATTTATTAATTTTGTTATTCAGTGATGTATTAAAATTATATGTATTAGTAATAGAAATTTGGAAATTAAAATTATGTACATAATAGAAATACGGCGAATTAAAATTATGTGCATAATAGAAAGTCAAGAATTAAAATGATATCTATAAGGCTAGGTCTACAATAGGTGTAGCAAGTTCTAAGCCTTAAGAAATTTACCAATCACAGTCAAGCATGAGGGGAATAATCGACTGTTATTGGTGGATTTCTTAAGGCTTAAAGCTTACTACACCTATCGTAGACCCGGCCTAATGAAAAATAAAAAATTAAAATTTTGTACATAATAAAACTTCGGCAAATTAAAATTAGATTTATAATAGAAATTCAGCGAATTAAAATTTTGTATATGTATAATAGAAATTCGAAAATTAGAATTATGTATATAATTGAAATTCGGCTAATTAAAATTATGTATGTACACTCGCGGAGCAAAATTTGTTTGGCGTTTGTGTTATCTAGTAATATTTAAATAAGGAATGTAAACATAAACTATTGGTTTCTTATAAATAAATTAATTCAAGAGAAAGCATTTGCCTCTATTAAAAACTACTGTACTGAATTGATGAGAAATAGAATACATATATTGATTTAGGAGATCTTCATGTGTCGATTTTCATATTTTTTTCTAGTATTTTTAAATATATGTATGTAAACATGAATTGTAGTTATTTTTTTATACAAGATATATAGAAAAAAATTTTTTTAGATAATTTGTTAAGTTCTGTAAAAATTCCAGAAAAGAAAATTGAGACGATGTTTAATCCAGCCGAACAATCAGTGGATTTTAAAGGGGAAGCGATAACGTTTAAAGCCACCAGTGAAGGGGTGTTGGCCACTTTACAACATTGCGTTGAATTAATGGTACAACGAGAGGATGCATGGCGTCGCAGATGGGAAAAGGAAATTGAAAAGAGACGAAAATTACAAGAACTTTATAAAGCTTTAAAGGATCAAGTTGCCATGCATCATAACGACTCTCCCAGACCCAGAGTTCTTATTCACGGAGGTCCTGACTATGAGGTGAATTTTCTTTTTATTATCCCATATATTTACTATATATAATTTCTATTTTATAAAGTTCCTTTAGACTTTAACATCAAATCAAATTAAGCATACATTTTTTAAAAGGGATATTTTATAATTAGAATTTGGCTTTGTTTTAAGTAAAAATTTCAAGATTATTTTTGTTTCCTTAAAAATTATATATTTTTTCGTTTGAAATCTATTGTCATTATTTTTCATTGTTTTACAAACAAAAATATTAAAATGGAATTATAAAGAAATTATTACATTATTGTTTTAATTAATATATCTTATCTATTTTGATATTTTGTAACATAAAATATGTAACTTTTTATAAAGATATTTTATAAGATCTTATATATATGTATATATAAATTACATAAATAAAAATTATTAAATGTAATCAAAATAGCAATGTTTAATGGATGGATTTCTAGAATTTCTCCATTTATTATAATGAATTATTTATTATAAAGTAAGATCCAGAAAAGTAAATACATATTACATACATGTATATATTAATGGTTTTAATAATATTTGAAACTTGTCTTGAAATTGTGTTTTTAAGGAAGGTCCACATAGCACTCTTTGCGATGAAGAATTTTATGATGCTGTTGAGACAGGGCTAGATAAAATCGAAGAGGAAAATCAATTAAGGAATCGTTTAAAACAAAAATCTGCTCCAATTTTGACATCTTCCTCCACAACAGCATCTTCACACAAGCTATGGCCTGAAGTAATTATATCTTTCTTTTATATTTTGCAATTCTTTGGTTCTGTCAAAATTAACTAAAAGTATATTTTACGTAGTATTCTACAAACTTATTCTCTGTATTGGAACTACAGTTTACATTTTTACTTAGCTAAAAATTGACGCTAAAATTGAAAAAAATAAAAGGTAGATATTAATTTACATCTTGTAACTTATATCGATTACTTTCCTTTTGATTATATTCAAAGTATATTTTTTGATACATATTCAAAGTGTAAGAAGACAAAATACAATCTTTGAATACATATTTATATTTTGATTATGTGGCACTCTTTTCTTCTTGAAATATACTGTTTAAAAATTAAGGAAACTTTTGATTTGTTTTTAAAAATAGGTAAAATATCCAAGCAGTCACTTTGATAAAAATGAGCAAAATTTAAATAAAAAAAGAGTTTTAAAGAATATAAATATGATGTTTTCTAAATCGGCCAACAGAGCCACAGCACGAAAAATTAATTATTCGGAACTGTATCTCTTGGTTTGAGATCACAAGAGTTTTAAAGTTTGAAATCTCTATTTTACAAAAGTCACTACTGAGTTTCTGTGAATTTGGTAACTTTTACATAAAGAAAATCACGAGGGAGAGAGAGAGAGAAAGAGAGAGAGAGACAAAATAAAAAATTTATCTTATCCTATCACGTTCTTAAAAAATAAAAAAATTGCAACAATTTTTGACTTTCCAATGTAAAAGTTTAAAGTTTTTTTTCTACAATATCGTTTTTTAAGAATGTTTCTAAGATTTTATAACTAAATTATATATTGAATTAAGTAAAAAATTAACATTTTGATTTGTATTGTTCATAATTGCGTTGAAAAGCATCGTTTTACGTAAAAAATCATTTTTATATAAATTGATTCTTTACTACAATATTCATTATAAAAAAATTAATGACTATAATTTTTATAATTGTAAGATTGTCAAAAAACGAATAATGAGATTTTATATTTAAAGACATTATTTTATATGAACTAAATATGAAATATCATAAAATTCATTTTTGTCGATTTTATTTCAATACTTTTGCACAAAATAATGAAAGAAATTAATTGGTGCAAGTAAAACATAGTTGTTTTTAAGAAAAAGTAATTTGCAATTACTAATTTGCAGCTACATACCTCAAATATATTATTATACATATGTAGAAAAAAATTTTTTTTTTACATATATAATTTTGAAGTAAAAATATTTGTCAATTTTTTGTGATTCTCTATTAATAATTTTTTGCAAAGTTACATACATTTGATTGAATTATATTAACATACATACATTGAATTTTATCATACTTTTGAATGATTTCAAAGTAATGCTTTAACTTTGTTGAAGAATGTAATTTTATAAAAAACATTGTTAATTATAGTTGCAATTATGGTTAATTAAATAGTAATATGCAATATTAAAATATTTATATAAAATTATTTTTGATATCAATTAATTTAATTTTTAATTCTTTATGTAATATCAATTGTTAATTATTTATACATCTGAATTTTTTGTTCACGATCGCATCATTTGATAATTTTTTTCATTACCAATTTGTAGATAGAGAAGATCACCATGGAACAACTTCATTATGCCCGACTTGGTGTGGGTGGAGCGGGCGGTTGGCAATTATTCGCTGAAGATGGTGATATGCGAATGTATCGGCGAGAGGAGGAAGCCGATGGATTAGTCGTAGATCCTCTCAAAGCCTGTCATGTCGTTAAGGGAGTGACCGGTCACGAAGTTTGCGAAATATTTTTCAGTCCCGAGTACAGAAGCGGATGGGAGGCTACCTTAGAGGACATGACAATTGTCGAAAACATTTCCAAGGATACACTATTATTCTTGCAAACGCACAAACGTATCTGGCCGGCGAGTCAGCGAGATGCAATGTTTTGGTCGCACATACGTCGAGTGTCGGATGATCAGGATCACGATGCTCACGATCTATGGATAGTTTGCAATCATAGTACTGAACATCCCGATTATCCGGTACATAATATGCTTAGTACAACAAAAATTTTATGAAATAGGTACTGTAAAATTGCCCTTAAAGACAGTGCCGATTTTAGAATCAATTCGCTCTTAGGCAAACTTCGGCTTGTCTCCTGCATTTTTTAATTTAAGATGGGAAGGTATCAAATAAGATAAAAATTATGTATAAAATTTTTACTCACTTCATAAACAAAACTAAGAATAAAATATGAAAAAAATTAAAAATATAAATTTAAATAAACAAAATATTCATTTTTTTGTACGTTTCTTTGGTACGTTCACAAATTAAGAAAAATATTACAACAAAACAAAAAATTAAACAGTTAAAAATAGTATTTGCACGGTTTTAAAGTAGCAAAATCTTTAATTATATTTTTAAATGAAAGAAAAGTAATCAAATCATTTTGGGTCTGGCGCCCCCTTCTGTTGTGGCGCCCCTAGGCAATTGCCTATAATGCCTATATGGTAAAACCGGCACTGGTCAAAGATAATCTAATAGGTAAATGTGTATTATACAATCTTTTAGCTTTCTAAATCTCTTCATTAAGTTATTACACAGGATCTATATTTCATGATTTTAATTAGAAATAAACGAAGGAATTAAATAAATATTATATTTTTTTAACAATAAGACATGAAGTCATTAGATTATCATGCAAAACACTGATTATAAATGTATAATATTTAATATTTTAAATTAATCCTTAACAAGATCTAAAAAAAAGTTTATAAAGATTAATGCATTTATCTATTATAAATTATTTTTAGATAGAGTACGTTAGATTATCCTCTGGGACAATTTTATATCTTATTGAGATATACTTCTTTAGACGTAGCGTTTTTAAAAATATGTTTACAGTTGCTAAATGAAATTATTATTTTAGCCAAATACAGGTAAATGCGTGAGAGTTTATTTAACGGTTTGTCTCGTATGTCAAACCTTTATCGATCCACCAAAAGATGAAGAAGAAATAAAGAGAGAGAATATTACATGTAAAATAACATACTGTTCAGTTGGTGAGTTTTCAAATTTCTTTTGGCAAGCTATCGCTGTTTTAAGGGGATGCTGGAGTGACTTGAGAAGTCAGTTGTTTTTTTCCTTTCTTATCGACAAAATATGAGGTTAAATAAACTATAAATCTATTTATTAGCTATACGGATTGTTTTTTAAGGTAGTTCTATCGCTACAATATCAACTAAAAGTTTCGCCTCTAATCGATAAGGAAATTCATCGTTTATAATAGTTTATATACAATGTTACCGTAGCAACAATTTTAGTTGAGTCTGTACAGTCTGAACCTCTTCACATAGAAACAGCTCATGTATGAATACACATCATCATCGCAATTTCTCTCCATGTTCCGTTTGGAAAAAAATTCATTTCTTTAAAAAGTAATCTTTGAAACTAAACGGTGGAAAATTTTATTTTTTTTAAATAATCCCACACTCATATTGTATACTCCACTGGTTTTTTTATTAAAATCATAAGATCCGTTCTATTGTTATATATTAAAATGTGATGAAAATGCCATCCTTTTCACGTGGTGTATAGAAAAAATGCTATTTTTAATTGTAAATAACTGTTAAACTAAATGATGAATCGACTTCAAAATTTCGTAATCGATAGATATTAACTCCGTCTACAACATATTAAAATTTCTAAAAATTCGTAAGAATTGTGAAAAACGATAGAACTACCTTAATTCAGAATTCAGATTTCTTGATTATAGAATCAATTCTGTAATCAAGAAATATGATACTATACAGATTGATAAATTTTTCTCCTGTACAAATTAAAGTATTAATATTAACAAAGGACGAAGCGTTTTCATTTCAAGTAAAAAACAATCCATATAGCCAATAAATAGATTTATAATTTATTTAACCTCATATTTTGTCGATAAGAAAGGAAAAAAAACAACTGACTTCTCAAGTCACTCCAGCATCTTCTTAAGTATTAATATATTCAAAATGTCTAAATATCAAATATAATATTATATTTTTATATATAATATATGTTTATAATTTTTTTATTTGAATTTTAGTAAATCCAGGTGGATGGGCTCCGGCATCTGTTTTACGGGCCGTTTACAAAAGAGAATATCCAAAGTTCCTTAAGCGTTTCACTAATTTTTGTATCGAGCAGTGCAAAAACAAACCAATCACATTCTGAATGTGATTAATAGAAAATGATAATCTTTCATGTTTTCCATCCAATTCTTTATTCACTATCTTAAAATGTCTTCATGTGATTATTGTAAAAAAAAAAAAAAAAAAAAAAACACAATTTGTGTTATATACATACTGTAAGAATTGCAGAATAGCTATTGCGATGTAAGTGTGAAACAGTTTTGTATATTCCTTTTTTTTATTTGCTTGAGATAATTGACTTATATAATTTAAGCATGGGAAATATAACTAAATATTAAAGGCCATTTATAGAATGTAAATGAGTGTATAATAATTGTATACACTTAAGGTTCCTGGGCTCTTGCCTCACCATGTTGGAATTGTGATGTTAGAGGCGAGAAAGCACACGCTAAAAATTCTTTATTTTTATATAAAAATATATTTCAATAAAACATTACTTTACATGGTTTTAGCACACTTTTAAAATAGTCCGAAAATTATCTAATTATTTTACAATTGTCGATTGACTATCAAGAAAAAAAATAGTTTTTAGACTATTTTAAAAGTGTGCTAAAGCCATCTGAAGTTGTGTTTGATTAAAATATTTTTTATCTAAAAATGACCCAAGGATTTTCAACGTGTATTTTCTCGTCTCTGACGTCACAATTCAACAGTTTCGGCGAATACCAAGAAGCCTTAACAAAGCTACTTCATGAAGCGCTACAATGAAGCACTGTATGGCTAGCACTATTTGCTGATTATCTTTTTTTCTTCCAATAACAGCCTATCATTTGTTACACAGTATTTTATCCAGCTGTGTGTACAAATCTGAACCGAGAATTAAATATAACCACACACATACACTCCAATCTTATTACATATTACATCTAATTAAATGCTGAATTGTATATTACAGATTATATATTGTTATTTTTAGTTATACATAAATATGTGTGTATATTGTTATGCAATATAAAAGTCATTGGGAAAACTTATATATAATAAAGACTGTTCTAGATTTATTGCAAAATAATAATCGCTTGTATACTACTATGCTGTTCATTAATCAATCATTTTCTTTTTTATAATGAGCTGTTTTGGACTATACATGGATAAAATCACATTCTCTTTGTACAATAAATTTATATAAATCAAAATCTAAAAACTTCTATATTATGTATATGTAGAACTTATTATGTATTATATATGTATATATTCTCTTTCTCTTTAAACAGCTGCGTGAATAACTTTTGCTTTAAAGGATTACTGGAGTAGAAAAGAATAGGTACAGACCTTGAGTCATGGGATACTCTGTAAATGCATATTCTTTATAAATTATCTCTTTGCGTTATTTATCAGCTTTTATTTACTTCCTTTTATTAACAATTATACATATATATTTATGAAAAAATAGTAGGATAATGGGGTAATATTTTTTGATAAAATAAATTTTAATTTTTTATCAATTTTTTAAAAGAGGAAATATAGTTGTTACTATCAAAGAAATAACAAAATGGTAATGTAACAAGAAAAAAGTTACAAATATTATTATATTAATACATACTTATGAAAGAAATAGTAAGATTTATACATTGTCATATATGTGTGTATGTGATATTCAATATTACATACATACTTATGTGTAATATATACTATACCATGGTGTAAGTAACATGGTGTAAGTTACTTACACTTTACACCATGTACTATACATTCTTTTCATAATTACTTTTTTGTTATGTTATCATCTTATTATTTCTTTCATAAGTATCTAATTGTTGATATAAAAGGAAGTGAATAAAATTTAATAAATAAAAATAAAGAATGATATTTATTAGCTTCTTTTATATCAATAATTATATATATATATATATATGTCGGTCAACATTTTTTGATCTTTTTTATGTCACAAAAGTAATGACAGATTATTTCGATAGGATTTTTCCCGTAAATTACGAATCTGAAAAATGACAAATAAATAAAAAATAGGATCGAAAAATTTAAAATTTTGTCGAAATACCCATTTCTAAAATTAATTGTTTTCCTTTTTTATGGTTTTATAATTATGTATAATAAAATATATATATATGTATATATATAACGTAATGGAAAAGTAAAGCCAATTGAGAGCCAGCCAGGCGTGGTAAATAGTTTACGCTAGTATAGTCTGAATAATTATAATCTATCTATTTGTAGTTCAGAATCTTCTTTTTCTTGTCATGTATGTGCCTCGTTCGATGGATGTTTAGGTTCCTTCTCGGCGACTACCGGAAAAAATGGACATTAATCGAACAGGCTACGTTTAAATTTCATAATTTTTTGAAATAATTTGTATCACTATGCTGAAGATGGTCTAAATTATATAGAACTAAAACGTACAAATAGATAAATTCTAATTATTCAGATTATACTAGCGTACTATTTACCACGCTTGGCTCTCAATTGGTCCTCCTTTTCCATTACATTATATTTATTATCTGAGCCACATAGTTATAATATTAAAAACACATAGTTATAATATTAAAAAAAATATTAAAAACACATAGTTATAATATTAAAAAAAATATAGTATTTATATCTTAATAAGACTCCATATAGATAAAAGTTATTTAATTTCGAATATTTTAATTAACAACAGATATTATCTTTCCTTATACGTTACAGTTTACATACAACATGTGATAAGTATAAAATAGCGACTAAATATAATCATACATCGATTACATTTTGGAATTAATTACATTAATTATCATCATAATGAAAAGATAGAGTGATTTATGACTTACTGAATAATAGTTTTTACAATTCTAATAACTTAAAAAAAATTTGACAAATAACAGAAAAGGAATAAACGTCAAATATTGTGTAAAAAATAAAATTAATATATATTTTGAATATTTATCTACGAAATGTATATTAAATGTGATCTTATTTCTTGTTTAACAAAATATTTAAATTTAATACTGTTTGAAATATAATCTAGTTATAAATGCTTAATACATATACAAAGCATATTTTAAATGTGAGCTGCTACTTTAGGAGCACATTTTACTCATCAAAATGAGCAAATATAAAGATACACCTTGTATATATCCAATGTTTCATTGGAGTCTAGAAAAAAACATATATAACAATACAGAGCAAATTAAATATAAAAAAAAATACTAAAAAGGAAAATATATAGATTGATAAATGTGTGGATATGAATAAAAGTTCAGGAATCAGTATGAAAACAAGAAATTAAATAAAAAAATTATTACAATCATAATATTTTATGTATTTGAAGTATTTTAGCTATTTATTTGAAATTGCATCAAATATTAAAAAAAAAAGAAAAAAAATTAATAGGTCTTTTTAAATATTTTTTTTACAAATTATGTAACAAATCATCTGCATAAAGTTGTTCTTATAGATCAGCTCTCACAAATCATAGTTTTTTAAAAATAATTTTAGATATAAAAAACATTTTAATCACTTGTTAAAAAGTTTCTAACCTATATTAAAGGACTTTCTTTATGATTCGTAGGAACCTAATTTCTTTAATACACTGAGACCCTTTTCTTCATATTCTTCCCGTGTTATCCACACAGAATCTCGATCTTTTGTTATTTCTGCTAGCACAGCACCACCCATGAAAACCATGTCTTTACGTCGAGGTGAGTCTTCAATTTTTATTTTAAATTTCTAAAAAAAAAAAAAAAACAAAAAAAAAAAAACAAATTATTATTTGTATAATATTTGTGTAAATTTAGTATATAAATTCTCAAATATCCACTTACATTTAACTTAGTTGTATCATTTTTTAATACTCTTTGCAGATAAAGTTGTTTAATTTCTCTTTCAAGTCTCGATGGAAGTCCTGGATACATTGTACTACCTCCACTTAGAACAATGTGCTTGTACAGCTCGCTTCTGATATCGATGTCAGCTGCTTGAATTGTACTAAACACTAACTCGGCTATACCTTGTGCTTCGACATTAATTAAATGTGGTTGGAAGAGCGCTTCCGGTGCTGCGAATCTCTCACCACCTACTTTTATTACACGTCCATCAGGAAGCTGAAAATACGATAATTCATATGTCTTAATTCTCAACATACATGTATATAAAATTTCTTCTCTTTCTAAAAAAAAGCATGTAATTGACATTGTTGTTTATAATTGTTTAAAATAAAATTAAATAAAATTATTAAATTAAAAAAATTATTACAATATGTATGTGCATACAATATATAATGATACACTTACAGTATATGATTCTACCAACACGGTGGTTTCCAGAGCTAGCTTTTCTTCAGTTTCTATATTGTAACCGATGTAACATAATTTCTCTTTTAACATTCTAACTGTCTCAAAGTCAGCCGAATGATTAAATGCGTAGCCGCGTAACAGTAGCAATTTAATTAGATACATTGTAATGTCACGTCCGGCTATATCTAGTCGTCTGGTCAAATGTGGCAAAGCGTATTCCTCGAACACAGGGCAAATATGCGTGACACCATCACCAGAGTCTACCACGACACCACTAATCAGTCCTTGAGCATATAATGTCAATACTGCCTGAATCGCAATATATGTCCCAGCGAAACCATACTTTTCAAACATTACCTGAAATAATTGTGTAAACACTATAAGCTGTTCAATCGTACAAGTTTAATTTTCACTGAAATTTTCGTATTATATGTGGTTGTACCTATATATGTACCTCAATCATTTTTTCACGATTTGTGATAGGATTCATCGGTGGCTCAGTTAATAAAATTTTGCATTCTTTAGGATTAATATTCATTTTCTCCTTGCCAAACGTATAATCCCACACATGACACATATCTTCCCAATTTCTATCAATTAATAATTATGCAATGAATCATGTGTCTATTAAACATATTATAATTCATGTTGAAATAGGTCTGATACAAGTATATACCTAACAATTCCATTTTGCATGGGATAACTTATCTCCAACATAGAACGAAGTTTACTCGCTTCATCACCAACCATTAAATTCTGTGACAATATATATAATAATTAGAATTCTATACATATTATATATGTGTATATATATTGTATATATATACTACCTACTATGTCCATTGTTAAAAAAAAAATATTGTTTAGTGTCAATTATTATATATATATATATCTTAGATATATATTATAAAATTAGATATATATTATAATTTATATATATATATATATATATATATATATATATATAATAAAATTAGATATATATTATAATTTATATACATTGTACATGTGTGTGCGTATGTGTATATAAGTATGTATGTATATATGCATGTCTGTTTATTAATAGTTCAAAACAGTATTAAAACATTAATGTAACAAAAAATGTATGTAACAAAAAAAAAATACAATAAACTTACAGGCATATTAAGCACATCCTATGAGAGCACATGTAAACATACAACTATGTTAGATATTTAGAGCATGATACATATACATGGTATGTATACGTACAAGTACAAATTGCACATAACTCATATTAAATAAATATATACACATATTATATAAATATATATATATATATATATATATATATATATATAATTTTATATATATATGTATATATTGCACTTTATCAAAATAAGTATAATATTCATGTCAAAAAGAACTTTTAAAATCTCTCACTAAAACAAATTATATGATGCATAGATTTCATGTGATATGTAAAAGTAATCATTTAACAAGAATGTTACAAAACAAAACAATTCTATAAATTTATCTTATTTCAAATACTTATATATCTTTTTAAGATTTGTTAATAAACATTATTAGCATTTCATAAACTATCTTATTTACATCAATAGACAAGCATATATGTTATTTTTCATCAAACTTTAACATTCTGAAGCTATATAGAAAATGTACACAATGTAATATTTATTATATAATAGACTTACACGAATGCAATATTTTGCTGAAAACATAATAGTTCTTATTAATTATATTATATTGCTAAACACACTCTAATTTAAATGCCCCGAAAGATTATATTAATTTTATATAATTCTTAATTAGCATTTAATATTTTTTCCCTATACTTTTTGATAATTTTTGAATATTTAGTTTTTATTTTTCATGTAATTCTATAAATTATAGTTAAAACTGCAATTCACATATTTATTTATGAATTAATTATAGGTAAGTATTATCTGTTATATATATTTTCATAAGAAATTAAACCATATTATTATAATTTATATTTCAGAATAATGTGATGATATAAGAAATAATACAAATATCACAGCTGCTATAATTACTAATTACACAGGATGTAGAATTATACAGATCCCAAAATTAGACCAATAAACTTTAGGCGGTTATAAAGAACATCAAAACAAGTCAATTTTGTCTGTGTCATAAACCCATGTCCGCAAATAAACATTGTTTGACATAAGACATTGTTGGACATAAGCAAAACTGCTGACTTCATATTTTTTCAATATTTTATATTAATGTTAAATTTATAAATAGAAAATTTATTTATATACCTTCACATCAATATCACCAATTTTATTAACAGCTCTGATTATAGGTCGTCCAACGATAGATGGAAATATGTGAGCCGGAAAATTAGCACCAGCATATCCACATTTGACAAACTGTAATTATAAAGATAGTTTTGAAACATAAATTACTATAGTTCGATTATATTAGCATAGAAAATTCTTTTGCGGAAAAAAAGAAGAAAAATGAAAATCTTACCCCGGTACCATTATCGCAAACTATAATCTTTCTTCCCTTGCTGTCCATTTTGTAATATATTATTTCTCCAAATAATGTCTCTTTTCTTTCTTAAATTGTTGTTTCATATCATTTCACGAAGTGATTCATATCTGCGAATATTAGGGCGTTACCGGTGAATGAAACTAAAATAACGAATGCAACTTTTTAATAAAATTACCATTTCGTATCATAATCTGGAATTTATTTTAACAATAAATATGATCTGTGAAACGTATCCAAAAAGGTGCAAAACGAAACAAATTCTTTACTATTGAATTTACTTCGAAAATACAGTTAAGCTGGGTTAAGCTTATCAGAATCCGGAGCATTGACATTGAGCTTGAGCTCTATAATCATGGTTTAACTAGTTACGAGTTACGAAAGTAACAGAGAACAGGATACTAAAATTTAAGTGCGCATGCGCGATGTGACGTCCCGTCTAGTTAAAAATTTTTGCTTTCGGTATTGTAACGTCCCGCCATTGGTCAAAACCCTATTTTTTTCGCGTTAACTCCATTTCCTGAGAGAAATTATTTAATCAACCATTTTACGAATGATAACTTAGAATTAGATGTTTTTATCGTTTATAGGAAATTTTCTAGTCCCAACTAGACTAGGGACTAGTGACGCGACCAATCCGACGCTACAAGCGTGTACCTAGAACTTACTAGCCGTCGTCATAAATGGAAGTTACCCGTTCGCGCGACCCTAATGATATAAACGATAAATGCGAAATATAATCAATGGGTGCTTTTTAGCAAGAAAGACACAGATAAACACTGTGTAATACTGGTGTAACACAATTGAGCACAAAGCGACTTAGCTAAAGAACTGAGTAAGATTGTGTTATATTGTGTGATAATAGAAAAGCACTTGTGTCGCATACAGTGTGACTTTATGTCGCCTGTGTTGCTTGCTGAAAAGCACCCAATGTGTGTGAACCTATTAACTAGAGACCTATAATAAGAGATGCGCCAACCTCTCCCCACTCCTTCTGACAGCCGCCATCTTGCGACCATAAAGCAGAAGATAAATTAACAAAGCGGAGCACGGAGCACTCGGAGCTGCAGAGCAGAGCAGTGAAGCAATGGAGAATGGAGCATATTTTAGAGTTTTCTGTTTATCAACTATCACTGAAATATCAATATTATGCTTGAAAATTAATTTCCTCATGGAAACTTATTTTTCTATAATATCAACCTGCATCTTGCACTCTCATACAACACACAAGTTTGCAGCAATATTGCAACAACATTACAATATTGCACATTGCATAGTAATATTGCAGAAATATTATATTCAATCCGATCATGTACTTAACTCTGTGAAGTTAGCCTACCAAAATTAGATTTTCGAAGTTTCAATAATTAGAATCAATAGTTGGTTTTCTATTGATCATTGTTGGTCATATTTTAGCTTTTGTTGATTATTAGTTTGATTGTTATGAAAAAAATAAATATCAATGTGAAGTTAGCCTACCTAAATATACAATTTTAATAGATTTTAATTAATTATACGTCAAATCGATAGGAAATCGATTGTTGGTCCCAATTATGTCTTTAGAAATGATTGTTGGTCAATTATTTATTAATTATAACAAAATAATTATTTTTTAATCGCTCATATATACTGCGCATGCGCATATATACTATGCATGCTGTTTCCAACCATTAAGTTAGCTCTCTACAAATATATTATTCCGCGATCAAAGAAATGTACAATTAGATAAAACAGGTATTTTATACAAATACGTTTAAATTGACACATTTATAATTAGGCTTAGTGTATTTATTAGAATTTTAAGTAATTGTACTAACAATATAAACTTTGTGTTGAGAAAATCAGTTATTAGAAAATTTATGGTTATTACAGGTAAAAAATAAAAAAAATTAATAAAAATATTATTATTATTATTATTATATTATTATTTATTATAAATGCGTCAATTTAAACGTATTTGTATAAAATATCTGTTTCATTGTACTGTTTGTACTGTTTTGTTCTATTCTGTTCTTCTTGTATGGCTTTCCTCCCGTATGCGATCAATAATTTTATAGCAATGTATCTTCTTTCTCTTTTCAAATATTAGCTTCCAATTTTTAACAAATTGGTATAATGTGCAGTAGATTCTTGAGTTATCAGAGAAAGCCAATTTTGGGATATCCAGTTCAATGGTTGGGTCTATAAGAAGGAGAACGGAAATAAGCCAATCGGAGACATCATCAGAATCAGGACAGTCAAAGAAAAAGTGGTTCAAGTCTTGGTAGGGATGACCACAAGGACAATCAAGGTAGGCAATGATATTCTTCTCCCAAAGGTAACTGTTAACAGCAACATGATGTGATCTAATTCTAGAAATCAAAACTATAATCGGTCGGGATAAATTAGTAAACTTATTGTACCATGGAGGAGAAAGTATAGAATCAACCAAACTGAAGTATCTAACACCCTTGCGGCGACTCTGATCACTCAGAGTACCAATTGCTTCATTCTTAGCCATTAATTTAAATCTCGAGTACAGATTAGTATAGTGACATCTACACATAAGAAGAGGATCAAGGGTATGTAAGGATTCCCTGGCAAGCGCATCTACTCGCTCATTGCCGGCAATACTCTTGTGACTGGGTATCCAGATAAGACTCACTACAATATTTCGCTTATGACATTTATACAACAAATCTTTAATTCTCAATATAACACTACGGCTCCCATCCATCATCCTGGTACTGTTTAAGTTATTCAAAACACTAAGTGAGTCAGAGAAAATTGAGGTTCTATCAATAACGTAAACCGGATCCAAAATGATATTAATGATAGCATAAAGAATAGCCATAGCCTTCGCCTCGAAAATGGAACAAAAGTCATTTATGCGGATTTTATACTCCATTCCAATATCCGGAGAGAAAACAGCAAAGCCAACCTACAAGTCGATTTCTCCCTAGAACCGTCCGTATAAAAAACGATACCATCCACATAAAGCCTCAAATATTCCTCAAAAGAAACAAAAATGTTGGCCTTCCTGAGAAGATTATACCCAAAGTTTACATCAATGATAGGCTCAAAACGGCAAATATCATACGAAAATCCCAAAAGACCTGGCAGATGGAACTCCTTTATCTGAGAGTAAAACTATAGGTTTTCAAAGTAAGTTCTCATCAAAGGACCAAACCCAGATCTCTCCCCCTCAGGTAACGTGGAGACAAAATCTATTGTTTTCCTCAGCGGATGAGCACCACGAGCCACAATCTTATAAAGATGCTTTCTCAAAAGAAATTGTTATCTAGAAGAAAGAGGCAATTCACCACTAATATCCAACAAAACATTAGTGGGTTTAGTGCGCATCATTCCATGTATCATTCTCAGAGCAGCAAACTGCAGTCTACTAATTTTTGTATAAATCAGTGAGTCAATCGGCTGAAAGACCTGACAACTCCAATCCAGCACCGAGCGGATAAAGCTCTTATAGACATTAAGAAGGGTAACAGGATGAGCTCCCCATCTGATAACAACAAGAGCCTTTAAGATGTTAATTCTAGAAATGACCCTATTCTTCAAATGGTTGAAGTGAGCTTTCCATGCCAATTCGGGATCCAAACAGACACCCAAATACCTAAATGCCCAAGAAACGGGAATAGATCTACCATCAACCCTGATATTGAACAAATCACGTCCGATTAGCAGTCAAGCGTTTCTAGGCTTCAATGTAGAAAAAAAACATGCTGGAAGATTTTTCCGGGGCTATCCTTAACCCAAGAATCCTGAGGAAAGAGCTCAACTCATCCAGAGCAATGTTAAGCTGATCTCTCAACATCTTAATATCAGAACTCGAATAATATATAGCCAAGTCGTCAGCATACGCTAAAATTTTAACAGTATTAGGTACATATAGATGAATAATAGAAATATACAGGGTGTCCGGTAACTAACGGACCAATGATTAAGGGCGGATTCTTTGGCCAATTTGGAGACGATTTTTCCTTAGCAAAAATGTTAAGAAGTCAATAATTTTCGAGTTATAAGCAATTGAAAAAAATGGGTTTTTTGAAAACTAAACGTTTTAGAGTTAAAAGTCTAACATAATTACATTCTTTAGTTAATTTCAGGTAGAGTTTATTATAATAAAATTTTAATTTGAGGTTTAGTTATAAAGATACATAATGACAAATATTGGAAAGTTGTAAAAAATGATGACCTTTTTTGACATTTTCGCTGAGAAAAAATTGTTCCCAAATTGACCAAAGAATCCATTTGTAATCGTTGGTCCATTAGTTACCGGACACTCTGTATATATATTAAATAAGATAGGACTAAGTATTTGTCATTCTCTTTTGTAGAGCCACTCCACCAGCAAAGCCAGTAAGAAAACGAACAGAGAAGGTACTCTCAATAAACTTAAGAAATTTATGCGGAAGACCAAATTTTTCCAATAAGATAATCAATGCCTCGGGAAAGACATTATCAAATGCACCGATCAAATCAACGAAGACTACCCCAGTAAACGTTCTCTGTTTATTTGCGATATAAATGTCAGTGATAAATGTGGAAATATTATCAATACAAGATAATCCTCTACGAAATCCAAATTGAAAGTTTCTCATAATATGACAGTTCTCCGCCCACTATTCAATCCTCCTATAGATAAGTTTCTCAAACAAGCTTAAACGACTTGACTACGACGTAACTAGCAATTTTATTTGATTATTTCACGACGTTTCGACCATTTGGTTGTGGTCCTTTTCAAGTGAAATTTCTACAACATAATGTTACACAATATTTTTTAACATACGAAAACTCATTTAAGTGTTAAATTAATAAAATAAGTATAAATTTTATAAACATACCATCAATTAAACCGAGGTTAACATAACATCACACCGGTGTTATTTGAAATCGAAAGTTAAACGTTAAAAGAGGAACACGTCCCATCGTTATGATGTTAAAAGTTAAAAATTAAAAGAGGAACACGTCCCATCGTTATGATGTTTCGTCAACGACTAAACTTGAAACGCGCCACTAAACAATCTTTATTATTTTGTCGTAAATGTTTGTCAAATTCTCGGTGTCTTTCTGTAGGTTAACTGTATTGCCATGCTTCTTTATGAAGAACATTTCAGCAATCTCTCTCTTTCTTACATGTTTCTCGTTATGTAAAATTGTCGGTGATTTCCAATCAAAGTTATGCCCAAAATCACATCTGTGTTTGCTCAAAACCGAATGATTAGACTCATGTAATTTAATATTGCTGGCATGTTCCTTCACTCTAGTGCATAAATGTCTTTTTGTTTGTCCAATGTATGATGCATTACAATTTTCACAGTTAATCTTGTAAACTACATTCGTTTTAATATCATTAGTTATTAAATCTT